ACCCACTCATGCATGAAGGCAGAAACAACACACAAAGATTTGCACATATAAAGAAACACACACTCATGAAAACACTTAATCATGCTCTTGTGAGCTTGTACAGGCGCACATTCAGTCAGCGGGGGATATTTTTCACACCAAATCTTGCCAAGTCTTGTAATGGCACATTTATTTGTGAAATTCAAAAAATGACACAGCGATGGACTTGAATTATTGAGTTTTTACCAAAAGACTGGTATAATCCTCAGAGACAAGGGCAAGTAAATGTAGATGTAAACCAATATTGTTGGCACCTTAAGTCTTATTTGCTTCAACTTGTTTTGTTAACAGTGTATTAAAGGCATGCTGTGTCAACATTTGTTGAGCTGATGTACTTTCTATTGTAAGTAGGGGTATCACTATATACATATTTACTTCAGGATTATCATAGTAAAAACATCATGCACAAAAATGTGATAATCAAGTGATAGAGTAATTTTTCAAGCAAATGTGCCAAAAATGACCATGTTCCAGTTTCTTAAATGTGACGATTTGATGCTTTTCTTTGTCTTATGTGATAGTAGACTGAATATCTTTGGGTTTGAGACTGCTAAACAGACAAAAGAAACTACTTAAAGACATCACGTTGGAAATGTCAATGGACATTTAGACCCAATGATTAATTGATTAATCTAGACAGTAATACATAGATTAATTGATAATGAAAATGATTGTTAGTTGCAGCCCTAAAATAGATGTTTTCAAAAGTTATCATATTTTGAATTTCAACAGTAACAAAAACATCTTATCAGTGTTGGTTTCAATGTCTCCTACACTGAAAATGTTCAAAATAGTCTGTATATTAATAGTTACATACACTGCTTATCTGGGTAAATTACTTTTGGAGGCAGTGTGTGCGAGCACTTGCACTTGTTGCACATTAAATAACGTGACAGTGACTGTGGCTTTGTTACTAAACAGTGTGACCTTTTAATATCTAAATCCAAATTATTTTAGAGAAGCAAGGAAATTAAACAATATTTTAATATAATTTTACATTTTAAAAACATGACCTGTAACTAATTGCAGCTGCCAATACAAGTTATCATAGAAATGTGAAACTTGCCTGTAAAAGGTTTTGCTGGAACATTATTTGTTCTTGTTTTTTCATGCTGTTCTCTTAAAAGCTTCTCTGGAGTCCAAGGTCATAATTTATCTTTATTTGGTCTTCTCCACCTGCTGTGATGCTTTTACCTGAAACTTACTGTACTCCTCTTTGAAAATGGACCAGTCTTTAATTACCCAGGTTTTAGAAGTGTATGTGTTTCCTCCGTTATGACGCTGAAGGTGGTCATGGTCGGACCCTTAACCCCTCCACCTACACACACGCACCATCATTAGGACTGATTACTGTCTGCTCAGTCTGAGGTCTGTCCGTGCACGTTACCCATTTAAAAACAATAACTTCTCAGTAATAATTCACCCTCAAGATCAGTTAGAGTCAACACAGACACCAATCTTGTGAGTTACCAAGGGTTACAAACTGCTCTGAGAATAATAATAGATCATAATAATAATGACACTGCTGTGGGGTTTGACAGCAGGAGAGAACAGAGGGATTTAAAAAGCTGCTCCTCCTCCTCCGTAACTCGATAGTGTGCAAATCATTCACCTCATTGTTCCATTCCTGGTTAATAGTCTTCCTACCATCTGCTCAAACTTCAACATCATAGTAGTTTGCTGGCTCAGAGGCTAATGACAGAGTCATGCCAGCTTAATATTAAACCATCCTCTCTCTATGCCTGGCGAATATTTGTCTGTGTTTTTCTTTAAACTGCAGCTGTAGTCACATGCTGTATGTGAAACATTGAGATTAAATTAGAGAGAATATATTATTATATATTATTTTAACATTTAAAATACATTGTAATGTTATGGAAATGAAAAAAGGGCTCAAGGGAGGTGAATGTACGTTTAATGTAGGCAGGACGTGATGTGACCATGGATCTGTTAATAGACCTAGGTACGATGTAGCAGTCAGCTGTGCTGCCAATTTATCCCTATGACCGACCACAATACAGCAACAAAGAAATCTTTTTCAACAGAGTTTGCCGTCATCTGCAAATCTATTGACAAACCATCTTGAATGGCACACGTTCTTTGTTTTGTAAATAGTCAATGGATGTTATATTTTAAAAATAATAATTTTGAGATTGTTTTTTTTTTCTCAAATATATTCCTCCTTATTTTTCCTTCTTTCTTCTCAAGAATAAACTTTCAGATTCCACTTTTAAGCCAACATGGACAAGAAGTGCTTAAAGTGCTCAGAGAAATGGAAATTTGAGCTGTCTGCTGATTAAGATTGTGTGTTACAATAGAAAGTTCCATTGAGTCTAGAAAAGCTATTTTTATGTATGACACCATCTCAATACAAAATTAATGGGAAGAGTGGGCAGGACAAGAGAAAGAGACACCTATTCACATGGCAAGGGCTAATCTGAAATAGAAAACAACGCTGGGGGAGCAAAAATTACAGAATCACCACTGTCTTACAACACAATGTCCAGCTACCATACTGCATCCTTAAATGTGATGGTGATATTGCAGGTTTGTCACTACCCACTGGTGTTTGTAATGAAGGAAGAAGTAACAAAGGTGGCTGTGAGAGCGTTTGAGGGAGTTTGGGGGAGTGCTGCACTTGGATTAGAATGAGACAGCATGAGGCCTTCAACAATTTCCTGAGATTCCCAGGGAGCTCAGTGGAGACTTCCTCTCCAGGCAGCGGCTGCCGGCAGCATGACATTCCTAGTTTGTAATTGATCTGTGGGATAAACTAACAGCACGGGGGAGATTTATAAACGGGAGAAAAGGGAAGTGCTGCATCTGTCTCGGGCACAGAGATCCACAGTTGTACAATATGTAATTTGCACAGTATGGTTACTTTGCAACTTTTCTCCACAAATTATTAAGTGTGGCTGTACAGGAAAGCACTGCTGCACCGAAATCTGTGTGTGGGTGTGTGTGCATGTGTGTAATCACACGCAGGAGGTTCCTATTTTGTAGGTACAGCGTGTAGCCTTTGTAGAGCCCGGCTGTGCACAAATACCAAGCTGAGAGTGGCTGTTGAACTTTGGAAATGTCAGCCACTGCTCCTCACAGACAGCACTATCAGTTCATTCCTGGTTGTCCTCCCATCCTCCTTCCCTGCATGCCTTAAAACTTTCCTTGTGCCGAGAGTGACCTACTGAAATCTTTTGAAGCTGGGTTTGGGTTGTGGGCAGGAGGCGCACAGAGGATACATGGCCTTAGTTCAAACACAAACAGTCTTTCAAAAATAACCTTCCCTGTTTTGCTGTGAAGACACGTGTGCCAATGGTCAGGACTAGGGCATCTGAGAAAAAGGTGCAGAAATGTGAGTGGAGTGCGATGGATCAAAAGGTCCAATAAAAATGCAAACCTCAGTGAAATATCCACTAGAGCAGTTGCAATGACTACTTTGTTTTGACTGTATCAGAGAGGATTTGACAAACATAATTATTTTTGAAGCTGTAGTTAAGTACCATAGTTTGCCTTCCATTCCCTGCACTAGACTGTGGGGAGCTGTCCATGGTGCTGTCACATGCTAAGCAGGATTAATGAATACACGCCCCATACCAGTACAGTTTACCTTGCACTCCTGCTCATAAATCCTGCTGTGAAAACAGGGAAAAGCATCGCCTTCACCCCTATCCCCTTCATGCCTTTCTCCCAGTGCTTCCCAAATGACATGCCTCGAAGCCAGACTCAGCATTGGCTCTCCCAAGAGGAGCGTTCCCTCCACCATACAGTTTGCATACAGCTGCAATCAGATGAGCCCCCCTCATCTGTGTGTTGTTCACATGTTGCTTTGTGGTTCACTGAGAGGCAGCAGCATGTGATTGCTGCACCCCAGGCCTTTTGCGAATGCCACTTCAGAGGAATGCAAAATAAACATGTGCATAGTATATGCCAACAGTGCTCTTTCTTTATGTTCACCAGCCTAATACATGCACAGTTAATGGGCACTGGAGGTCTTGCATGAGGTAAAAAGGGGCTTCTTTATGCCATCTCTAATCAGTTCATACCAGTGCTACATGTGATATTAGGATTGCATTTTCCTCTTTTTACCCCTGATTTTGAATCTCCAATCCTTCTAAAATTGCACAATAACTACCAGTGTTATCTGAATGGATTTAAAAGAAGACTTGTTTTTAATGGTGCATGAAGTATCACCGTGTTCTTCCTTCTGAATACTTGCCCTCTCTGTTGAACCAGAGAGATAATCCATCAATTCACAAAACAAAAGGCCCTATTGGCTCCTCAGTGACAATTACTTCTTCTTCCACATATCAACTCTCAGCAAGCTGCAGTTGTTGACTCGTGACCCTCCGTCATACCCAGCAGCAGCTCTAAATAAAATAATATTAGAGTCAGTCTCCTCTCACTTTCTTTTGCCTTCTTTTCTCTCAGTCTCGAGGGAGGTTTTAGGGAAGCTCTTGAGTGCCCTCATGTGTTCATTACTATTTACTTGCGTTCAGATCAGTATACTGAATGTGTGTGCTATTGGCATTAGCACATAAAAACATTTCCTCACACACAAAAACATTTTCCCCTTGACTCTGTGTTAAAGGAAAGGCTGTCTCTTTCAATCATCTGTACATTCCAACAAAGTTTCTTGAGTGTCCAGCTTACATGTTCTCTCACGCAACCACTTTTGAAAATAATTTTGTGCACGTATATGTGCGTGTCTGTATGTCTGAGTGCAGGCAAGAGGGTGTACTAGCTTACAGTACATGTGTATGATGCACAAATGACACAGAATTGTGCTTGCACACATAACAACAACAAGTGTTTCTGTTGATGTTGACTTTGAAGGCACAGAAATGATAATGGTATTGGTAATAGTACAATATTTTTTGGACTGTGCGCATGAAACAAGTTCCTTTTTAACAAGCCAGCAGGACATTCAAGTGTGACAAGTGTGTCATCTCTTGTCTTTGCAGGAAGTGCTTTGAACCTGACTTGCCGGGCGTTTTTCGGCTACAGTGGCGACGTCAGCCCACTCATCTACTGGATGAAGGGAGAGAAGTTTATAGAGGACTTGGACGAAGAGAGAGTCCAGGAAAGCGACATCAAGTAAGAAACACTGCAGAAGTTGAAATCATTTCACTGGATGTGGTAGTAATGAGGAATTAATAGCCTATGTAGATAAATTCAATGGAAAATAATAAAGGATGATACAAAAGGTTTTGCATGGTTTAGCCCATTAACTTCAAATTGCATACACTAAAGCAACCATTTTCCAGAGATTTATTTGCTGCCTTACAAGCAGCTGCAGGTTCCTTCTTCTTTTTCCTTTTTTTTTTCCAATGGTGTGAACATCATGCAGGGACGTTGAGCATGTTTTAAATCTTTATTCAATCATTTTATCACATTTGTTTTTTGTTTAACTTACATTATTGTACTGTCAAAATGCATTAGCAAGCAAGGGGAAACAGGAAACCTATTATACGCTACACTGTGCACAGTAACAATTGAATTGTATACATCACATACAAAGAATTGTATAGATTTGTATACATCACATACAAAGAATTGTATACATCACATACAAAGCAAGATAATCATCAATTATATATCACAACATATTGTATGTGTGAGTGAATAGGACACACGACTAAAATGGGGAAATCATATTTCAACTACAGGATTAACTTATGTATTAACTGCATTATACAGTGCTCTCATCTTCACAAAACAATGAGTACAGGATATTTTTAATACTAACACACACACACACACACAACAACAACAACAACAACAACATGTATATTGGTACAATATAAAGCTTTGACAAATATATCTTAGCAAACTTTGAATTTTGAACATTGTTGCTTCAATATGGCTACATGCTGTATCATCACAACATGTTGCCATATTGGTGCCAGTGTGCTGTATTGTGCAGCAGTTTCATGTGGATTATTGCGTTGCGTTTACCAGATATGCTGTTGAAAAGTCAAGACAAAAGTCAAGACCAAAAAAAACAGCAAATCTGTACAATGAGAAAAGAAAACTGTGCTGTTTTGTTGTTTCTTGGATTGAAAAGTTTGTTGTTCTGCTGCTGACTCAAATCAGGTACGTACAATCGTCCTTGTGTCCATCAACAAAGCAGGAACCAGTCCCTGAAAAACAATGAAAACAATCCAGGTGCTGAATTGTGTGTGATGGATTATCTGACGCAACCAAGTTTCAAGTCTCTGCAAAATGTTTTCATACTGAAATTAGTTGAAACTGGTAGCTTATGCAGTTGTTATGTAAGTACTGTCCTTTAAACTCTTGCCTTTTATGAACTATCTTCACTGATCTGTCATGGCTCAATTTTAGTTTCAGTGACACTTAATTGGCATTATGTTTCGATCAAAACAGTCAAAGCTACTGCAGTTTTTTCTCTTGCAAGGAAAAGGGAGGAGAAATCTTGGAATTCATGTCAGTATTATTGTATAGGGCACATTATTAGAAAGAATGTCTCTGTCTCCACTTACTGCAAGTTTTTACATGGGAACCATGTTTTTTTTTTTTTCGCTTGTCTAACCATTTATTTCCATAGCAAGCATTGTAGCAATTTCTGTTCATCAGCTGCAGGACAGAATATCCATTTGCACGTCCATGTCTGCTTTCTGTCCATATACATGTATGTGTTTTCTAACATTTTGCACCAAGGACATATGTGCTGAACGTTGAACACCTCTTTAAAAAGAATTTAAGTTGCCTTTTCTTTCTATTTACTTTCTCGGTAACGTTGTACAATTTGCCCAAAAAGCCTTACTTTCTGAGACATTTAAAATAAGCCCATTTCCATGTGATTCCCCCCTAGTGGTCTAACACATTTAAACAAGTCCATTCCCTGGTCCATGTGCATGTTTCCCATTAGAGCTGTTTGGAGAGGCTGCAGCTCTGGGGAGACAGCCCTGTCAGATGGTTAACAACCGCCATTTTTCACACCGCCGCCACTGTCGATATCTCCCTCGCTGCACCCACCTATAGCACCATGCAGATGGGCCACGGGGAACTGAGGAGGAGTGGTTGCAGGGGAAGAGAGGGAGAGGTAGAGAAAGAGAGAGGGAGCAGACAGGGAAGGAGTGGAAAGAGTAAAAAAAATATGGTAAAACTCACTGAGGAGGAAAGTAAAAAAGACACATCTGTGATAGTGAGTGTGCTTGTGCACTGATATGAACATACAACAGAAGCAAATCTCATTTTAACCACCAACACAGCTCTCCTGTCTGTCTTTTTCTCTCTCTCCCTCTTCCTCCATTACTCCCTCACACCAGGATTCCCCCACTCACTGGCTATGGGGTTATCTTTTCAATAATTCATACCAATATTTCATGCAGCGGATCAATAATGTATTTGATCATCCACTCTTTGTTGCTGATGCTGCTACCGTAAGCTTTTTCGCATCGAGCCAGTGCCTCGGTTTTGCCTCCATAAAGTCGGCCAGAGATATGGACCGGGCAAAGAGCAATGGAGAGAAAGGATGGGAGAAACTACACATGAACAAATCTGTGCTTACCCTGCAGCCATGTCTCCCTTTCAGATGATACAGTGGGCATGTTACTATGGGTTACCTCTCTTCTTCAGGCAGGCACCCACACACTTTTAGCTTTATTACTAATGCATCGGCAGCCAAACTTGAGCATAGAGACGAACACTCATACCTTGGGCTCAGAGTTTCTGCAGGCATTTATTTACCCAACTCTGAGCCTATTGATTTGGAGGAGTTCATTTCTATGGTAACCCAAGCCCATAAATTCTCATTTACGCCACCGGGACAGGGCTATTGTTGTTATCATAGCATGGATGACTGGACATTAGCATAGCGTGCAGAGATTAATAAATTAGCTAAACAAATCTGGCTCAGCATAATGAAGAGGGTGATCGATACATTATTGATCCAATTCAGTTGGTGTTTTGCAGGTGTACATTGAATTGAATGTATAAAAGGAATGAATACGTTGGAAATGAGCAAACACAGAGGTTTTGCTAATGAGGAAGGGAGATAATATTGAAAAGAAAATGTGCCTGCAGCCATAGTTTGAGAACACATTTGTGATTTACTCATTCTGCTAACTCTATATTGATAAACTCAATCACCCAACAGAAAAGTTGAGGATTTTATTTGGACTTTTACAATGAATTGTACAAATCTGACCCTTATTTAATCTGATTCACCAATATCTTGCAGTAGATGCAGCTTTACAGGTATTGTCACACAGCTGTGTGCGTGTGTGTGTGTGTGAGCTGTCAGTCAGTTCTCATCTGCGCTATCCAGCTGCTCTAACTTTAGCCCCTCATCATCTCTATTTGAGGCTCAGGTTGAACAGTGTTGATCATTATGCATCAGGTTGTGTTCCACCGAGCTGTGTTGGCTCATATAGTGTGATAATATGAAACTGGAGGCTTCAAAGTACCCACCACTCCCTGGAGAGACATGAATTATTCCCGTGCCTCCTTCTCCCATCGCCCCAGCCCCCACCTCACTGCACAACAAACTCAGCTGAAACTACAAATATCATCAGCGCTGCCTCTCCGCGCAAAGCCCATGATACACGTTCAATTACTGATGCCAAATCTCCCCAACAAGCTGTCCTTATGTGGAGTTTATCGGTTTGAAGGCGAGAGAGAAGAGAGATGCTTTACAGAGTCATTATCCCCCTACACACTCAAAGACACACTCACACTCACTCTCCTCTTTCCTCATCCCACTCCTCCTTCTCAACACATAGCCGTTATTCACACATACAGTACATGATACATACACATGCTCTCTCTCTCACACACAAACACACACACACACACAAACACACACACACATACATACA